AAGAATTTTTCAATTAAATCAGGCCTGCACAACATACGGCTCCCAATGCCCTTACCCTCTCCTCTCTCACTATCACCCTGTCCCCCCCTCCCACTGACAGGACAATGTTACAGTGTGTGTCCTTTCTAATACTACAAGAACATCAGAGCAACTATAACTTTACAACTAAGGAACACATAACATACATTTCTTAAACAGAATAAAGGAAACCTATTGGCATTCATGATAAGAGCTCAGCCAAAACAAATTAGACATTTGTATTATTTATAAGAATAGCATTAACCATTTAACATTAACAATGACTATTAGTGACGGGTGAAAGATATTTTAAAAGATAGTATGTGTAACTTTTAATAATAACTTTATGAAAAATCTCTGGTTTCAAAAACTACACCATTAGAATTTAATATAGACATAAAATGCCTACATTTTCTCTAAGGGCGGGGCCTGGGCCCGGGCCAGCTCCAGGCAGAGCCAGGGGAGAGACCCAGCTCCACATATTGATGGAACAGGGCCCCTGGCTCTGTAACTCGCCGGCACTTCCGGGGGGTTCAGGGCCCGAATCGGCCTAAGGCCAGCCTGCCGGCAGCCATCAGCCATGCTGAAGCCCAGTATTTTTTTCCGCGTCCCAGTACTGGGCCGCGGCCCATAGTTTGGGAAATGCTGATCTGTGTCATAGGCAGCAGCTCAGGGAGGTAGGCGGGAGTTGGTACTATTGTATAATAGTTTATCATTGATTACTTCTTGGCTGAAGCTCTCAGTGTAGGATTTTAAACTGGTTCTCTTCCACTTTTCTTAATCTGTTGACAAGTGTGCTATCGTCTCAATTCCTCAAGCTTATAACCTTCACTTGGGTCATCTGAATTTTCTTCCTGTCTTTCATGCCCAGGATCTTGCCAAATCATATTGCTTCATGCTCTAGAACACTTTCAGAATCTGATACTTTTTCACAATTTCCACAGCTAAAATGTTGGGCTACTCATGTCTCACTTAGGTTATTGCAATTTCCTCTTCAACTTTATTTCTCTTCTATCTTCTCCAAACATAATTTTCCTTATTTACTTCTCTAGTCATGTCACAGCTATGCCATAACCCACCTCATACATTCTCAGATCCCCACTACTAGCTTCTTCTCTGATCTCTCATCAAGCTACCTCATCTTTGCCTTCAAGGTTCTGCCTAATAATTTGTGTCTATCTTTGCTTGCTTCCTGTTGCTTTCCCTCATGGTTCACCTTCAGAATGTTTTTTTTATAACATATATGGGATATGAACTTTTAAATTAAAAAATTAAACTTATTTTAAATAGCTCAGATACTCACTTGAGGTGATTCTTTGCCTGGATGAGTGGATTTTTTTTTTAGCTCATGCTTTTACTTGAGTAAGATAGGCAGGCTGTTCACAGATATTTGTCATTCTGCTCTCAGGGAAGCTAAATATACTTATTTATAGATTTTGTGTCTCATTTATTAAACTACTTAAATCAGTATTGTGTCTTTTGAGAGTGGCAATAGCATCCTTGTTAGTAAAGAATCTTCCATGTTAGTTGCTGACAGATTTCTGAACATATTTCTTGACCTCTTTGGTCATCCGTTTAGCCTATTGTGAGGCATATTTTAAGATTATTTCCTGTCTGAATCAGTAGACATCAGATATCTTGATTTTTAATTAGGCTTTTGACACTGTCCCATATGACAGTCTTATAAGCAAACCAGAGACTTGTGATCTGGATGAAACTATTGTAAGGTGGTTTAGCTATTTCAGAAAACATACTCAATAATGCTATCCAACTTGAGAGATATATCTAGTGGGGGCATTTGAAGAGTCTGTACATCTGGTATGATTTGGGATTTCGGAGTGGAGAGTATGCTTATAGAACATGCAGATAACATGGGAAGAGTTACTAGCATGTTGAATGACGGATTAGAATTCAAACCAAGGATGACAAATTAAATGAATTGGTCTGAAATCAGTGAGATTAAATGTAGTGAGAGTGCTAAGTATTACACGTAGAAAATGCACAATTACAAAATGGGAATTAACTGGCAAGGCAGTCATACTGCTGAAAAGAATCTGGAGGTTATAGTGGATCGCAAACTAAATAGGAACCAACAGTGGTGTGGTGGTCCACGGCCATGGTCACACCCACCCAGATCTGAGCGGGCAACCTCACTAGCCCACTGCCTACTAATCTAGATGCGGCCTCTACGGGTGCGAGCCGCTCTCACCTGAGCCCAGGCAGGTGGCCCTGCGAGCCCACCGTCTAATGGTCCGTGTCGCACCCTTTAAGGGCGCAAGCCGCTCCCGCCCGAGTCTGGGCGGGTGGCCCTGCAAGCGCAATGCCTAATAACTGACAGCGGTCTCGAAGAGCTTGAGTCACTTTCTCAAATAGTGCTTGCCCCTTTCGGGGCTTGAACTTCCCCCAACTACCCCTTTGGGGCCCTCGGTTTCCTCCGCAGGGCTCTGCACCATTATATTACTCGAAGCTCACCGAGACAGGCCCTCCCTCTCCACCGGGTCCCAGCCTGGGGCCCTGTAGTGCGGGATAGATGCTCCCCTGCATGGCTGGCGGGGCACACCCTCGAAACGCGCCAGCCCACGGGTGCCAGAACAGCCCTGTTCCGGGCTGCTTCCTTCCCCTCCTTGCGTCCATGGTGCCCCTCC